GCAACGCAACGTTGATTCAGAGCTACTTTGATTTAATATTTTAGGTTTTGTTTTAAAAAATGTTGTAGATTTAAGTAGTGATTATTGAATATATTTTGAGACATTTGATCCCCACTAGTGATAATTTGCATACACGTTCTGCCATGTTTTAAACGTTTCCACTTTTATCATGGAAAGTCCAAACTATTTATCCTCCTGTTGAAACCAACTAAACATTTTGCTTTTATCGATAATAAGAGTTATGATCCAGGAAATATGACCTGGTTCACTCTTAAAAACAAAGGCTCTTCATTGGCATCGATTGTTCCGTTAAGAACTTTTAACATCTATGGAATCTTTCCATTCCACTAAAGATTCTTTGAATTTTAAAATGTTCTTCATAAGAAAAATGGTTCTTTTAAGGACTGATCACTAAAAGGAACCAGAAATGGACATGGAAACTTCTGGAACCTTTATTTGTAAGGCTGTTTAATATGTTTCTCAAGAGAGGTCTTAATGTCGTCCTCCTGTATAATACTGAGCGGACAGAAATGCAGAACGGTAGGGTCTGTTAATAATAGACTAAATGGACATGCATAATTCATGAACAGAACCCACAGGTGTTCTCTGATTGACATGTAATTCATGCAAATTCACAACATGACACACCTCAAATCATCACAAGCATTAGTCTTCATTGTGTTGAAATAATGTGCTTCTTCTCTTGTTTGAAAAATGCTCTTCAAATAAAAAATACTGGATCAGGTTTTGGATAATCTAAAAGTGTGTGTGTGTGTGTGTGTGTGTGTGTGTGTGTGTGTGTGTGTGTGTGTGTGTGTGTGTGTGTGTGTGTGTGTGTGTGTGTGTGTGAGAGAGAGAGAGAGAGAGAGAGAGAGAGAGAGAGAGAGAGAAAGTGTGTGTGTGTGTGTGTGTGTGTGTGTGGGCATGTTTAGATACTTGTCCCCTCAAGCTTAAAAATTGAGATAGGCCTACTTTATGGGGACTTTTGCTGGTCCTCGCAAGAAAATTGTATTAATTATATAACAAAATGTGTGTGTGTGTTAATGTAAAAATGCAGTAAGTGAGTACGTTTTGTGTGATGGATTAATAAATGTAAGTGAAAGGGGACAGAATCAGTCTAAAATATAATTTTATCTATGGAGGTCCTCGTAAGTATAGCTAAACAAACATGTGTTTGTGTGTGTGTGTAAGCAGACGCAGGGGTCTGTTGTGTGTTTTTTTTTTTAGTGTCTTTACAACACAAATCCCCCACTTAACTCTATTGAAGCAAACAGTGAAATGTGACAACGGGTCTGGTGCCTGAAATCAGACCTTACACAGGTACTATTGGTGCGTTCACGTGATGTGCAGAAGATGATATTTTCCACTTGTGAACTGGTTTTTTTTTACCAGAATGTTGTGTTCAAGTGCTTTTGTTGTCGTAATGTGGTAAGAAGATGGAGACCCAGACCTGTTATTTAGCTAAAACTATTTTAGATTCATCTGCTACAGTAAGAAAATTATTTATTTTCTCAAACGGTAGATAATATGCTGTATATTTTCTAGATCATGAATAACGTTAGTATTTTTATCATTCACGACTATTGCGGTGCTCTCCGCCATTTTGAAAAGGTCACTCATCTCGGCAACTCGTCCATCAAAATATTCTATGTGTTTCCCAGTGAAAAATAGGGTGTTCATGTGCATTTTCCACGTCGGCTTTTGGTATATAATTTTAACATAACACGTGAACGCACCATAAATCTCTAAATCATCCAGAAAATATGATGAAACAAAAATCTAAATCAGAAAAATCAAGTGCCGCTTCAGTCTTAGAGTCTCACCCATAATGTCATGCGATACACTGTTTTTGCTTACTGTGAAAAGTATCTAGCCTAAATGCACATTTTTAGTACAAAAATCCAAATGTAAAAAAATGCAAAAATAGGCTACATCTTATTGCTATAAATGAATGTCTAAAAATAGTTCCTTAAAAGTTTACACACTAATAAAATGGTCAGAATGTCCTTGAAAACTCATGTAAAGTGGCCTTTGTTCTTGCTGTAAAAGACGAAGAGAGCTGGAGGCTCCATCTGCTGGTGAACCGTTACATTACAAGACAGAAGATTTCATTATTCAAAAATCAGTCATCATATTATTATAAACCATAATATTAACAGTATAAAAAGAACAAAGAATCTGTTTTTTTTAACGCAAATAGAAGTAACGTTAGGCCTACCATCTTAATCAAAATAAATTACAACTTTTTGATTTTAGAAATAGGCTGGTGAAATCAAAAGTTGAATCTATTTTTAAAAGCAATCTGTATATGATTAGGCTACTAGTTCAATGCGACAACATATGTAAAAAATATATAAATTGTCCTTATTAAATGACTGAACCTGAAACCTCATCCTGAAATGAAACGAGTCGCGTCTGATGCAGTGTTCTAAACTACATTTCCCACAATGCTCGATTAGCACCGCTCTGCGTCATATCCTGGAAATGATACAAAGTTCAAAAGTGTGTATTTCAGAGAAATGTTCTGATAAATACATTGGAATGAATAAACAATGACGAACAAGATCAGTGTGTCGTCCTCTCAGCTCGTCTGGAGAGTTTGTAATTTATTTATGTCACTGTTTTTCGCGTTGGCAACTTACGTGCAGGTAATCAACGGTTTTGACAGATTATCTTTAAATGCCAATCTTGATTAATATAATAAAGATGGTCATTTAATTATCAGATTAACTTCTTGTTTGTGTCAGATAAATGATCCAGATGCCGGTTTGTGGATGGTAAGAAAGAATTCACTTTAACCAAGAAACAGTAGCTATATTTCTATAAAACAAAATAGAAGTGTATTAAATAATGTGGGTTTTTCATAATAATAATAATTTTGCAGGTTGGCTATGCTATTCCAGCTGGATTATGTTTTTCGATTTGCTGTCATCAACAAATAACAGGTAAACGGTGTGTTTCATTGATCACAGTAAGACGTGATGCTGTCCTCTAGTGTAGTGTAGTAGAAGCAGAAATACATTTCATTGGTCCAAAAAGAAAAAAAAAATAGGAAAACATACTCACCCTCAAGTCATTAGAAACACATTTGATTTTCCTCAGTCAAGATTTAAGTGTTTATTACTGACAATTTATGGTGTCGCAACCGCGAACTTCCAGAAAATATTCTTGAGAATATAGTATACTAATGCGAGATTTTCAGTAAATGAAAACATTAAAGGGGCTGAAGTGATGAAGAGACTGTTCTGTGATTTTCCAGAGTCATTATTGTGGAGGAGAATCGCTGATCTGCATGTGCTCATATCCTCTACATTTGGAGCCATTCTGGGCTGGAAACTTTGTAAGGAGGGAATTACAGACATTTTCCAGCAAGAAGAAGGAAGGTAACAACAGAATAGGATAATAATTGAAATATAAGTTTATTTCATGTTCACTCTCTATTCATTTGGTCACCCTCATGTCGTTCCAAACTTGCATGAGTTTCTTTCTTCTGCTGCGGAACATAAAAGTATGAACGAACATGGATTTTTTTTGTCTATCTATCTACACTATATGAACTAAAGATATTTCACAGCCACTTAATTGACATTGCATTATAGATACATTAATATGGAGCCTCTGGGAAAGTTATCGGTTTGTCAATCTGTCTATCTATCATTAATTTGGAGCTTGACAGTCGTGAAGCTTCTTTAAAGATATCATGATAAAAGTTTACAGGTTTGGAACAACATAAATATATAGGAATAATAAACCTCCACGAGTGTACTGTCCTCTCTTAGGGAATGTGGTGGACTCCTGCTGGTGGTTTTCTGGCTTCTGCTGTGCAGACATTCAGGAAGGTACTGGAAACCATCTGATAAAACTCAAAGATGGTGTTTAACGCTGATCTGTGATGTGTTTCTGCAGTGACTCTTCATGTGTGTGTCCTGTAGGAGTGCGGTCGGTTCGGTGAGGATCTGCACCGCTGTGGGAATCACTGTGTTTCCCTTCATCACATGGATCTATTACTACATGAACACTGAGATGAGGAAACACTGGCCTGAACACTGTAACACTGCTCTCTGATCAGCCACAACACAAACCTGTCCAGATCCAGACGTCTGGTTTTATTCACTGCATTCCTCTGTTATTTTGTGGATTATATTCAGAAAGACGGCACCATGACTCTATGACTTCTCTATCCCGGTAACTATCCCGGTAAATATCTATACTGGTATCTTTCTTTCTCTGTGAAGATTATAAAACGATTCTGTTTAGCACAATAAAAGTGGATGTGCCACACCCGCATTATAATTTATACTGCGTTTAGATTTATTCAGAATATTTGAATTGATTTTTTACAAACATAAATGTATGCATGTGTACTGTTTAGATATCATTAAAAACATGTTTATGCATTTTTAGCAAAAAAAAAAAAAAAAAAAAAAAGAAAGAAAAAAGATTTACCTGAAATTAAAAAAATATTTTTAAAACTTTTATTTCAGCTTGTTGCCAAGCCAGCATTGAAAGACTGAAATGAAAGACGATTCTCAGATCGCCAACTGTACACTCGCCATTCATTGGGGAATTAAAATACAAATATTTATTACGAATTGTTATGAATTTGATAGTATGTTGTTATCCAAATTAATCTATGCTAATAGACCCTCTTTATAACAGAAATGAACTTTCTTCGGCATCAGTTCTATCATCAGTGTTAAAACAACAACATATCCAAACAAACACACAATGATACTGTGAATGAGGACGAAATAATGCATGTAACAAACCTAAATACAATTTATTATGTAAAATAAATAATATAATAAAATAAAAACTCTATACACACAGTAGAGATCTCATTGATTTGAATGTATATAAACACAATCACAACTCAATTTATTTTGTCCCAGTCCAATAAAAAGAACATTTACTGAAAGTAAACTTCTACAATGTCTTATTCTTGGATATTTGACATCTGAAACCTGATGTAATATCACATGAGCGCCCATATTTTCATATTAACCGAGCCGAATCATTGTTCAGAAACCTGGTCTGCAAGTTAGCACATTTAAATTAAGAGCAGAAGGGATAATAATAAGAGAAACATGAGGAAAACCAGAACCATATTCATGCTGTCCATGATAGCAACTTATCAAAAAAAGACACCCAATATTATATATAAATAAAATATAAAAGGTAAAACTAGTTATAAAAATGTTTGATGAAGCACCAAAAAGAGTTGTAAGGCTGTTCAGCTGTGGTTCCTCTGAACTGGAGTGTTTCTGATAGTGTTTATGCATCCAAGAGAATCATGCGACACCACCATACTTTACTGAGGTTGTTGTAGGGTGTCCAATTAGGACACAGATCTAGAAGTTACTGGAACACAATGCTTTCTATTAAATCACTATATCAACATGACCCACTAACCACAAAAAAACACACAAAACTTGATGAATGTAATGACATTTTAAAGTTGATCTCTCGGCTTGACCCCTGAATGTTTGAGGAGTAAACGGTGGATAAATCTGTCAGATTCACTCACTGCACAGATTGTTGGACAGAATCAGGTTGTGTCTCGATGTTTCTAGCTTCCTGTTCTCGAGTCGCTAACATCGGCCTCAGCTCAAACGATTCTGCTGCATTCTGGTTTGATGGGTTATGTGGAGTTTCTTCAGACACGCCCTCAATCTGTGCTCAGGAGGAGACACACAAGTTCCACGTGAGTCATGATGACAGCTTTCTGCTGTAGTATAACCACTTCATTCAAAAGAGAGTTGCAAGAAAACTATCTGCCAGGAAAATAACTTTTTCCCTTTGAATTGAGATTATTTTTCTGACCCCATTGACAAATATGTATTAATTTTTTAAGCACAAAAGACTTTAATCATTTTTATATATAGGCTATAAAAACTTTTTTTTTTCCTTTTTTTTTTTGCAGTGTGAATACTGAAAGTAATTTTGTCTGTTGTTTATCTGTTGCTTATAAACTAAAAGCTAATGTCTGGGGAACCTAAAAGTTCAGCTGCATATCATAAAAGTTCAGCATAATCATTTCAACTATAAAGCAGGCTTAGTGACAAATCTCAAATAAATACAAGATTAAATGAGATATTCACCTGAGAAGAGTGATTCTGCTGCGATCTGCTTGCTGGATTCTGTGTTAGGGAAATGACAAGTAAGTACATGAAGTAAAGTCCTTTAATTGCAGGTCATTTGTAACTCTCATAGCAATAAATATCACATTAATAAATATCAAATTTTATATATATATATATATAATATATATATATATATATATTACTAACCTGGTGGTGAACATCTTTAATCCCTGAAAAAGGGGGCAAATATATTTAGAGAATCAAATTGATCGTTTTCAGCTAAAGCACAGCTTTCTATACATACATCAGATTTGTGTATTTAGAAAAGAAAGCGCTATTTATTAGACACTTAGACCTTCAAAAATTACTCTTTTTTTTTTTAAGACGAAGAATGTAATTTATACACCACCAGTGTCACCAAACAGAATTGCAAAATCAAACTATTGGTTGACGGGATTTAAGATCCGAGTTTGGTTTGAAGATGAAATGCATACCAATCACAAATGTTCTCTCATTTGATTTCTAACACACTCACAGTGTTTGTTTGCACTGTAATTTTACAGTATAATTGTAGTTATTTAGGTAACACTTTATTTTGATAGTCCACTTTAGACATTCAACTAACTATAAGTAACTTTGCCGCTGCATGTCAACTAACTATCATTAGAGTATTAGTAGACTGTCAGCTTAATATCTGCTAACACTTTATTTTGTTGGTAATCCAACAGATAATCTACTGACTGTAAGTAACTTAGCAACTACAAGTCAACTTGTTGTCCTAACCTGAACCCTAACACCTAACTAACCATACAGTCTACTACAGCATACTAATACTCTAATGACACTTAGTTGACATGTAGTTGAAAAGTTACTTATAGTTCGTAGAATGTCTAAAGTGACTATCGAAATAAAGTGTAACCGTTATTTATTATAATTATTATAATTTATTATACATATATTTATGTAGTTATAAATGTATTTACTGGCAACCAAAATTGCCAGTTAGTTACTGTAAATTTTACGGCAATTTTTTTTTACAGTTAGAAATCTTCAAACCAAACTTGGATCTTCAATCGACAAAGTTTAAATCCTGTCAACTAACAGCGGTTTAAGAAACCTGCTTGAAGCCACAGCAGAATTCAACTGAAGATAAAAGAAGACATTATGGGCACCAGGGCCTGAAATTAACACCCGACCACCTGCCAAATGCGGGTGAATTTTGCTATTGGCGGGTAACACTGTCAATCTACCTGCCACATTGGCAGGTAGCCAATGAGAATTGTGAGTGATTCATAGGATTTTTACATTTCAACGAAGTCCGCTATTGCGTTTGACTTTAGCTAAAATGTGGCGGCACATTACTGGGGTAAAGAGGCCAGCTGAAACAAAACAGCCAACAAAAAGATGAGGATGAGAAAAAGAAAAGTAAAGAAGACATTTTAATACAAAGTGAACAATCGGCGGCAATGGCAAGGTTCGTGAGCGGCTGATTTATGACAGCGACTGTTGTTTCGTAACGTTCATGCGATCAGAAAGAAGATGAGGCTCTTTTTCTGACTACGTGTGCGAGTATTAAACTGTTGGTGAGATGGGATGAGATAATGTAACGCTGTTGTAGGTTAAAGTACAATGACAGTTGCACAGATGTGTGTGCGTGTGCAACTGTGCATGTTGGGAGTTGGGAACCGGTGAGAAAATGTCCGGTACCCGGTAATTTTATCAGTAATAACAGTATCAATTTAGTTCATATTTAACCGTTCCTGAACGCTGTAACTAAAAGCTGTTAAGAGTAAGACCTACGTGACTAAATCCGCCATCAACACAGCCGCGTGTGATTTGTTTACGAGCTGAGGTAGGTCTATCTGTTGAGTATATATTATAGCCTATACTATATATGTTGTGTGTGTGTGTGTGTCTGTCAAAATCAAGGAATAAAAAGATTTTTTTTTTTAAAAAATGTATGTTATTAGAGTTATTATTACTTGACAGCACTTAAATGTGTATTCTTACAAGTTAAAGAACAATATTGTGAAATTCCTGTTTTTTTTTTTTTACGTTTATGAGGCAAAAAAAAAAAAATGGCTGGTAAAAAGTCTCTTTGGCAGGTGAATTTTTAAATCCACCTGCCACAGTGGCCGGTGGCCGAAAAAATTAATTTCAGGCCCTGATGGGCACTATCAAAAACCCAATACAGCTCCAGGCGCAAGTGATTTTTTGCTAGTTTCAGCCTGACGCAGGTATCATTTTCACGTCCTGCGCCACATTGTTTAAATAGGGCCCATGGGCTGCTGGTCTGAAAACGAGGTGTGTTCAGGCGCAGGATGGCAAATTGTTATTTTAAGGCAACTGAAATAGACTGCACCACTGACCAACAACTTGTGAACTTGGTCTAAGTCAAAGGTGCAATATTTGTTTTGTAATTTAAAGAGTGTCTGTTCAGGATGAGCAGAGAAACACTGATGATATGCTGCATGTTGCTTTATTTAAAGGCAGTAACTGTGTTGCTGATGCAGTTATTATTATGTTTGTTAAATTCATCAGCACCTGAATGTGTGCTGTTGTTAACTAGCAATTATCTGCAAGAGGATTGTGTTAAATTGATGTTTAGTTAACTTATTTTAGTTAACTTAAGTTAATTTTATTTTAAGAAACATTCTTTTTTTTTAGTGGACTGAAATAAGTTCACATTATAAATATTAAAAGGCATTTGACCAATTTAAGGTAAACGATTTCCTCAGATGAAAGTAATCTCGGGATTTAATTCAGTACACAGGCATTATTACAGTAACATAGATTAATTAAAGAAAACTTTACAGTGTAATTGTAGTTGATGATTTAGAAAATTATGTTAAAACATAACCAACCCCATTATCACCTTTTCTATGTGTTCATCTGGCTGTTATAACTCATGTACAGTAGCCAAACAAAATCTAAAGTTAATGATTTAAGTGTCAAGAGCCCAAATAAAGCAAACACTGATGGCCATAATGGTATATATATATATATATATATATATATATATATATATATATATATATATATATTTTCTTCAGTGATTCTGCTTGTTAACATCTGGTGTTTTCAATGATGCTCAATCATCACTCAAGTATTCACTTAATTATCCTATTAACTTTAACACTGCTTCAGTGTTCATTTAACACTCAGCTCAGAGTTTATATAATTCACATTCGCAATGTTCATTAAATGGGGATTTTGCTTTACCCCAACCTCTCACGCACATGTTTGATACTGTAAGCTTACGAGTTCTTGGGACACCATTTTTGAGAAATTTTTCTCAGTTTTTTTTTTTTTTTTTTTTAGGGTCAGAGACCTCTCTTTAAAACCGAGAAAAAAAAATGGTAACACTTTATTTTACGACCCGCAAACAACTGTGTAAGTACACTGAAATTACGTTGTACATTTCTGTAATTACAGTGTACTTCCATGTAGGTATAAGGGAACAATATGTTAAGTTTTGGTTAATAAAGGGGTAACAAGCACCACTTTAATTTACAGCCCGCAGGAGTTACACTTACCCTGTAACTACACAGAACAAGAGGGTAACAAACGCTACTCACTATGTAGCAATACGAAACAACACTATTTGCACTGTAATTGCAGAGAAAGGTACTGTTATAAAAAAAAATCGTTTTAATTACACAGTATATTTGCCCTGACATTTAAGTGTTATTGAAAAACTAATTACCACATGGTACGGTCTAAATTAAAATCATTATTTTGACTTAACATTAAGTAATCTAGTAAGAAAAGCCAATAAATTAAATTTTTATCGTATATATATATATAACCCACAGATGTCAAAATTAACCTGTAACATTGCACAAGAACATATTTTGCCAGAAATGTGATACATTTTATTAACAACAGACGTACAATTTTTGCCTGGAATATATTAACAGAATAGTTACCTGTTTTTTTTTTTTAACTAATTAAATAATTTACTTGTATACCTGCTTTTTACCCCTTTATTACCCCAAACTTAAAGGAACACTCCGACTTTTGGGGACTTTAGCCTATTCACCTTACCCCCCAGAGTTAGATAAGTCCATACATACCTTTTTCATCTCCGTGCGTGCTATAAGTCTGTTTGACGCACCCACCGCTAGCCTAGCTTAGCACAAAGACTCGATGTGACTGGTTGCAGCTTTCATACTGATCCAAATGAGTGGCAAAATAACGCAAACGTTTTCCTATTTACATGTTGTGATTTGTATAGTCACATAATGTACAAATAACAAAGTCAAATGAGACACAGACATCTTTTAACCGTATAAAACCTGGGAACTATTCTCTGAAGGCGAAGCACTGCTACGTTGACGGAGTAATAACCGCATCACCGGAGACACGCCGTGGTGAGGAGCGGAGAGTTCGCTCGGTGTTTGGGTAATAGAGTCAGCAATTTATAAATAGTAAAAGCGTAGTTTAGAGTCATGGGTTTTCGCTCTATTGTAAATAGCTGCGACAGTAAACAGGGGAGGTAATACCATGTTTCACAGAATTCCAACTAAAAACGCTGACTGGATGAAGAAATGGCTAACTTACTCTGGATATTTATCCAAACACACCTAAGATTATCAACGGACATTATGTTTGCTCGGTACATTTCAATGAGGACGACTATTTTGAAAAAATGGAATTTGCCACACGGACCATAATGTGCTGAAGGATACGGCCATCCCATCGATAGCACAGACAGGACAAGTGGATCACCTGCGGCTGAGGTAAGTGTTATGTTGTTTTTAGATGACCTACTGTAACAGTGCCTTTAGCCAGATCTAATGTAACGTTAGTGACACTATTATATGATTAGGGTATGAATATGTTTTTATCTTGATGCGGTGCGGACGCGCTTGGGAAAAAAAAAAAACGAGCGCGTTCACCGCGTTGAACTTGCACCCTGTGCGCGGCGCGCCTGTAGCCTAAATTTGAAATAACCATGGAAATAACGAACTTGAGCGCGCAAAAGGGTACGATAGGCTGTGAGTTCATTGTGCAAAAACAATTTGTGCTATTACTTTCCCCTTATTCTATCCTATAGTAATGTAATACTGTATATTATATAGGCTACTGTTGAATACATTTGGTTCAGCTAATAAATTGCATTTAAAATATATTGATTCCTGTAATAATAATTATTTATTCATGTGATATTTATAAATCTGGGTGCGTTTTTGGTTGGAAATCAATGAAACATGGTACTGTATTACCTGGTCTCCCCTGTTTATTGTCACAGCTCATACAATAAAGCAAACACCCATGATAAACTATGCTTTTCTATCTAACGTTAGTAATTGCTGACTCTTTATTCCAACGCTGAGCGAAGCGAACTCTCTGCTCCTCGTCACGGTGCGTCTCAGGTGATTGTTATCACTCTGCCCAAGTAGCAGTGCTTCGCCTTCAGAAAATATAGTATTTATACGGTCAAAAGATGTCTGTGTCTCATATGGCCTTGATATTTGCACACTCTGTGACTATACAAACCACAACATGTAAATAGGAAAACGTTTGCGTTATTTTGTCACTCATTTGGATTAGTATGAAAGCTGCAACCATTCACATCCAGTCTTTGTGCTAAGCTAGGCTAGCGGTGGGTGCGTCAAACAGACTTATAGCACGCACGGAGATGAAAAAGGTATGTATGGACTTATCTAACTCTGGGGGGTAAGGTGAATAGGCTAAAGTCCCAAAAAGTCGGAGTGTTCCTTTAACATATTGTTCCCTATACTTACACGGAAGTACACTATAATTACAGAAACGTACACCGTAATTTCAGTGTACTAACAAAGTTATTTGCAGGGTGTATATCTGTTTGTTACCCCTTTATTACCCCAAACTTAACATATTGTTCCCTTGTACTTACACGGAAGTACACTGTAATTACAGAAACGTACACCATAATTTCAGTGTACTTACACAGTTGTTTGCGGGTCGTAAAATAAAGTGTTACCAAAAAAATTATATTCTGTCACGATACAATTTACAAAAAGTGGAGAGGAGGACTCAAGTGTAGTGAAGGGATGATTTATTAACAAAATAAAACAAAACACAAAGCAAAAACCCACAAGGGGGAAAACATAATAAATGAAACATAAAACAACACTGAACTAGGAGAACAAATACTGACTAAGAACATGACGACCATCACAGGGAAACTGGGGTAACAAAAGACAAAGATCCGACAAAGACAGCAAACAAGAGGAGACTAAAATAGGGAATAAATCAAGAGGGAACAGGTGGAAGAACTCAACACTAATCAGGTAACGAGGGGGAGGGGTCAAACAATGACAAGAGCACATGGCCCAACATAACAAATGCGTCCCAATTCGCATACTATCCGTCCTAGTATTCGAAAATAGAATTAGTACGTCCCAAATCATAGTATGTTGAAATGAGTGTTTCAAAGATACCCGGATGGTCTACTTTTTCCGGTCAGAATCCGAAGTGTAGATCGATGCACACTCTTAGGGCTGATATTGCCCACAACCCATTGCGCGTTGGACTAGGATTCGGTTAGAGAACTACAAACACGAGTAAAAAGCGTTAAAAAAAAAAAAAAACTACAGACACGGAGGTCGCGCGAGTCCCGTGGTTATGTTGAGAGGTTAAGATAAAGAGCTTTGAGTGATTAATTATTTCTATCTAACCTAACGAAAATAATTTATTCAATGTTCTCCACATTATATTACATCTGCTGCAGCATTGTGAACTTTTGTAAGGATACGTTTAGCCATTACTTTTTAAATGCATCATTATATTCAAATAGTTTAAATATGTGTAACGGAGGCCAGCTGGTAGTTGCTGTGCGAGTAAACCTCACTCCTCTGTTCTCAATAGGCGCTCTAGCGACAGCCGCTAGAGGCTGCAGTCTTTAGCCTCCTTGTTAGAGCGCCCGACTCTCATGCTGGAGACCCGGGTTCAAGGCCCGCTTGGAGCAGGGCGAGTAGAACCCGGGTGGAGGGGTTACATATGCATCAAATTATTCAAATAAAACACAAGGAAAGTATCCGCATTAAAGACCCACGATTGGCAGATGAACGTGCTCTCCGAAACGGTAGGAAATCAAATTAGATTGAATGGAGGATTTTAACTGTGACAATATGATTGACAGGGCAGTTTACGGTTACAGGATGCACGCAGCACGCGACAGAGCTGTCCGTTAAAGATGACGTGATAGTACGTTCCAAAGCTTGCCTACTCTTTTGCTACACACTCAAAAATATGTACTTTTTCTTTACAAAAAGAGTACATACATTTAGGGTGTAGTATAAGTAAGCGAATTGGGATGCAGGGACAGACACCCATGTGGAATACAAGGCAGGACAGACACGTGACATATTCTATAAGAGGCTCGTGCAATCTGTTCAATAAAGCTTGCGACCCTTTTAAGCAATCCGCCATGAATGTTTTACTGTCTGGCCTTGGCTGAATCCCATTTCCAGCATTCACTTTCAGTAAGACTTTCTTTTATTATGCAGAATTGTGCACATTAATGAGTTAAGCAACACTTTAATTATAATTTTTCATATACACAATGTTATTATTACCACTAGATTAATTTTGTCTCTTGTTATGCTTTGTTTTTCTTCTTTGTAATATTGTGGTAAAACTAAAAAATAAAAAGTTTATATAAAAAATATACTGGTAAAAATAAAGACTATATAAAAAATAAAATAAAAAAAACAGACCTCGGGCCCTGTTTTAATGATCTAAAATGATCTCAAGCACAAAGCGCAAGTAACTTTGTGGGCGGGTCTTGGGCGCTGTTGCTATTTTACTTGCGATAAATGACTCTTGCGCCCGACGCAAGTTTAAAAGGGGTTGGTCTGAAGTAGCTTCATTATTCATAGGTGTGGTTTGGGTAAGAACAGGTGCGCATGTTTCATGTCGAATTGTTATTATAACGAATTTACCCATTAGCACCTCAATGCAGTACATGAGATCTATGGGGAGGAGTCGGATCAATATCCAAAGGGTGGAGATTTGTAGGATTAGGGGTGGGTTTAGGGATTAGGGGGCGAAGTTGGGTAGGTTTAGGTGTGTGAAAGGTGGGAGGAGTTTGATCTGGATCCGACTCCTTCCCGTGGATTTCATGTTCTGCAGTGAGAACCATCTCAATTTACCAAGCGCATGCAAGGAGCGTTCACAGCCGAGGAGACCGACGTTCTTGTAAGAAGTGACGTTGTATGGGGATGGGAGAAACCCACCCAAATCAGCGTCGGGAAACAGGTGTGGAAGGAAAAAAAAATCAAAATTTAACCTCTTCATGTAAACCACAATGATTTCCCTCATGTGTTAATATTTTTCCTTGTTATAATGTATGATTTGCAAAAATAAAAACCGCTGCATCTGTGTTGATGAGCGAATCAGCGTGTTGTGCACCCGCTACATCATGGCCAAGCATGTGCGCTTAAAATAGCATTAGGAACAACGCGCACCGTGCCACTGACTTTAGACCAAGATTTTTCTGGTCAGTGGCGCAATTGTTTTCTGGAAGTGTAAAATAGCACCAGGGAATGTTTGCGCTGAACCACGCTTTCTTTTTGCACCGAAGTTCATTTCCTAGTTTACCGACGTGCGTCTGTGGAGGGAAAATCCCGCTTTGCACAGGTGCAAAATAGGAATGAGACATGCGTTTGTGTATAAAGTCATTTGCGCCGGGTGCAAGATAGGGTGTGTCTTTAAACACAAATCAAGAAACACATACAGAGACTAAATATTCAGATTAGATTTCAATGTTATTAACATGGATAGGCTAGATAAATAGTTTGTACTCACAAGGTTCGAAAATGATTAACAGCAGCACAAATGAGGCAAAGACGCATTCAGAGGAAAAGACAACTTTCCTCAGATCCTCCATCGCACGCTCACCATTATCTGTGAAGTTAATTTATTGAGGTAAATATAAAGTTTGATCACTCTAAAACTTCTCTATTTGTAAAGTTGTTCTGTGATATCTTTAGTATTATACATTATATCAATATTACACAGAAGCACTCTGAGAAATGATGTGTGAAACTAAAATCACATTAAAATGATGTCAGACATATAAAAGATCACACATTGAAAAGATGCAGCCCTAAACAATTGAATTGTTTAAACTTTTTGTTGTTGTAGACTGAAATGTTATCCTTATTACAGTTTTGCTAGGGAAAAGCCTTCCTTTCAGTTTACAGACCTTAAATGGTTATGAAAACTCACTTATTTTCATGATCAGCTCGGTCATCATTGCAAAGGAGTTCACTAGAACAACAACCACTGATCCGATAAGGTACACAGCAGGTCTAAAACGAAGAACTGTAAGGCAGATAAAACTTTGTTAATAGAAATGGTATAAAAAAAAAGGCTGCAGCAATATATATGGTATAAGGTATTTGTAATTTTTTTTTACATATTGGACATCATGCAGCTTATATTTCACAAATCTAAGTTAAAATTAAAACTTGGTTTTACAATAAAATAAAATCATAATTGCAAGATAAAAAGTCACTATAACTTTTTTTTTTAATTCTGTGGTGATTTTTTTCTTCAACCAAGCTATAATAAAAAAAAATAAAAAAAAGGCTTTTTATTTTTTTTATTCTGTGTTACAATTTAATACACTATATTGCCGAAAGTGTTGGGGCGTCTGCCTTTACATTCAAATGCACTTTAATGACATCCCATTCTTATTTCGTAGGGTTTAATATGGAGTTGACCCACTCTTTGCAGCCATCACAGCTTCAACTCTTCTGGGAAGGCTTTCCACGAGGTTTAGAAGTGTGTTTATGGGAATTTTTGACCTTTCTTTTAGAAGCGCACTGTTGGACGAGAAGTCCTGGCTCGCAGTCTCGCTCTAATTCTATCGGGTTGAGTTCAGGAGGCCAGTTCCTCCACACCAAACTCGCTCATCCATGTCTTTATGGACCTTGCTTTGTGCACTGGTTACAGTCATGTTGGAACAGGAACATCCCCAAACTGTTCACACAGAGTTGGGAGCATGAAGTTGTCCAAAATGGTATGCTGAAGCATTAAGAATTCCTTTCACTAAAGTCCTTCTCGTCCACAGCAGTACCTGACCTTAAAAATGCGCTTGAACACCTTCCTAAACCTTGTGGAAAGCCTTCACAGAAGAGTTGAAGCTGTTATAGCTGCAAAGGGTGGTCCAACTCCATATTAAAGCCTACGGATTAAGAATGGGATGTCAGACGCCATTTTTTTTTTTTTTTTTTTGCACATGGAACTGACTGGGCAGGATCAAACCAGCATTGAAGAAAAGCTTAAATGACTCAGAAAAAAAAATCACACCAAAGATGATTCATATCAGTACTGTACCCAGGTCACCAAATGAGTGTTTAAGGACCACAATTCCCCAGAGAACTTGAAGAAATGCGGCTACGCAGACCCATCCATCACAATCTACAGTTGGGGGGAAAAAAAAACACTTTACAGTATCAACATTAGTTGCAAAATTTAATGAGAGGAGACCATTATTGTACCTTTTTCTTTTTCCAGCGCTATGAGGTACAAATAGACCATTATTGCATTCATTACTATCATGACCATTAACCACGCTCCTCTCCTGGCCAAGCGTAAACCTGAAACTAATCGAAACGTAAGAACGTTTATTTATTTATTTTAAAATGACACAAAATATGATTTCAGAGACAAATACTCCTGAAGATCTGACAATCGATCACTCTTATTCAACAGTAAGTCATTAAGATAGATGGAATGTCATTGATTTATCTATAATCAGTTATTCATAGAGTCGAAAAACACAATTCATCAATTATACTTACTCTTCAGTTTTTCCACACATGCAGCATGCCAGTTATATCTGGTCAATGTTAAAAACAGTGGAAAAACTCCAACAACAAAAAGTGCTGTATGTGGAGACAAAACACTGGGCTTTAGAAACAAACATACAACACAATTAAACAATTATTAGTAGTGAGCTGCTTAGCCTTCAGAAAAATTAAAACTAACTGTAACCTTTTAGTCATTTTCCCTGATTTTATGGTTTTATTTAGCTATACACATGGGTTGCAGATTAGCAGATCAATTCATTTAGCTATCATTTAGTTGGCTAGTTTATTATGATTGATTAACATATTTTTTCATTGACAGTGTTATCCTATAAAAACGAACTAATGTTGAATGGCTTTAAAAATGTAAGGCTAATCATCAGGATAAAAGTGCATTTACTAATAAACATACTAATAAATATAACTCATATTTAGATAAACGTTATAGTTTCAAATCCAAAGTGACTTATAATGCATTCAAGGTATAATTTCAATTTGATCAGATGCATCAGCTAAGGAGCTTTGTTAAACATGACACGGAATGGAGAAAAACAAAAGAGTAGTCCGACAAATTAAGGCAACGTAACAATTGGGACCACGTGGAGGACGGAATACAATCTTGTCAGAGCCGTTATGCGCTGCTGCAGACGTGTGCAGTGTACAAAAGGGTAAAGTCAAGAACAGTTTGATTCGTTGACCGAAAATGCATGCAGGTCCCCTGAGGGAGGCCCAAGCAAGCAGGAGAACTGTTTTCAAAGACAGGACTTTTAACTCAGCTGGTCTCTGGTCAGCACCAGAGATAAGTCACAAGAGGGTTTAAAGGGGGCGCGAGGCGGATTCAATCTCCGTACTCCCCTCAGGAACCTGACGATCAGGTTGTGCTTTCCCATGGATCTCCCATCCACTGTATTGTGATATGTGGCAATAGAGGCAAAAAACACTTTGAGGGTGGATGGAGACAGCCCTCGCTCCAACACATCTTGCAGGAAAGAAAGCTCGGAGCTCAGTCTTCTCGGAGAGAAAAACACAAATCAACGAACAGGTTCCACTTCAGGGCGTAAGCATGCCTCGTAGCCTTGTCCTTCACCGCTCCTCTGTTTAGGGTAGTGAGGGGGGAGGAGCTATCCAGGCAGTCCATGACTCAGTAAGCTCTCCATGCACTTTGGGGAAGAAAGGCACTGGGGCGGCAGACTGAGAAGCCAACCATCCAACCAGCGCAGTCTCATCCCAAGACGTCATCCAACCGAGACTGCAATACCACAATGGGAACATGAGCGATACACAAACGCTGCTTCAGCGTGCTGTAAGCCCAAACACGTGATGCAACTAATATGACCGTCAGAGGGGGACAGGGAACGGCCGCATCCAGAAACGCACGGGTGGAATGACATCTTGAAAAAGATGTAAATGATACGGGAATGATAGCGGCAACACTGAGGGATGGTGCAGCCTTTATCAGAGAAGCACTCACTCTCTTCGCCCTCACCGGCCGTCAGACAAACAAACGGAAATGTGATGCTGTTAAAACAGCAGTTGAGAGTTCAGAAAACTTTTGACCACCGCTGCACCCGCGCTGTAGGACCACCAGCCTCGGGAGAGCCTTCCTGAAGAAGAACCGACACACTCGCTTATTTTAAACATCCACAACGTCACAGATCCCAATTTTTCTGGTGGAATAAAGTTTTACCTTTGTACAAACGACAACGTTGTCAAAACGGTCGGAGGATCTGTGAAAACTATTTTAAAAAAACACCGGATTTTTTTATGTCAGGCCAGAAGTTGGCGATGTCACCTTGTAAAGAAACACTATTAGCCAAATGCACAGATGTTTCAGAGACATTTTCATTCAAAACTTTCTGTACTGCTTAATAAAGCATCTGTTTGTACAACAATAAAGTTCAACATAAGCCTCAAGTTGGACAAAATATAAAACCGGCATGCATTGCTTCAAGTCAGCTGCCGATCGGTCTGCACAGAGCATCATGAAGCGAACACGCTTAATGTGTTGTGTTCTTATTGGTTCATTATTCTTTGTGTATAAATAGCCCTCGTGTTCCCTATGTCTAGCTTTGATGTTGTACCATACTGCTGGTGACTGTATTTATATTCATAACAGCTCTTCTTGTGTCATGTTAATATCAAGTCAAACCTGCTTTGGGTGATCTTTCTGTCACTTTGTTGATCTTTAAAAAAACTGCACATGGATTCTCAATTCAACTTGCCTTCAGTGGACTTCTGTGAAAGTTTACAAAAACTCGTTTTCAAAAGTTTGTGTTTTCAGGCCACCAAAACACTGTTGAGTTGAGTTTAAATGAACGGCCAAAATGTATAAATGTATGCCATGTAAACAGCTCCAAAATCTCACAAATGATGGTATTCAAATGAAATAATGATTTTAAGAAGAAAATAACCATTCATTCAATGTGTTCAGGTGAGATTTTGTGCTATCTAATCAAGAGAAACAAATAAGGTCAACAATTTTATTGTAATCCAAATGTTATATAAAACGTCTCACCTCTGCTGGCAGCTCCAAAAGCGTAGCAGAGGAAAATGAGTTGTAATGGAGGCAGAACATCATGGCCGATGTCAGACACGAGGTCTAACACAGCACGCATGCGACCATCTTTATTTCTGATCAGTTCAGCCAATACTGTATCAACAAAATATGTATAGAATTAACAAAACGTTTCATTTGAAATGACCATTTTCTAAGAGAGCTATAAAGAATACAACAAGAGGGAAACTAGACTGAAATAGTATAATTTGAGTAAAAATATCCTAATAACAATGACACAGCAATGAAGTGGTAACACTTTACAATAAGGTTCATTAGTTAACATTAGTTAACTACATTAGTTAACATGTACAATATGTGAACAATACTTCTTCAGCATTTATTAATCTTAGTTAATATTATTTCCAACATTTACTAATATACGCAGGGGTGTAAAGTAACGAATTACAAATACTCACGTTACTGTAATTAAGTAGTTTTTTTCACAAATTGTACTTTTTTGAGTAAGTTTAAAATTGTGTAATTTTACTTTTACTTGAGTACATTTTAAGTGATGTATCGGTAGTACTTTTTCTCCGCTATTTTCCCTCTGTTTGTTGCCGTTACTCGTTACATGCTTGTTTTAATTTTATTTTTATCCATCAACGTGATTGGATAGAGTAATCGGTCTCGTGACTGTCATCAAATCAAATTAAGCATAAAAAACTTTAACCGCCTATTCCTGCTGTTACTCGTGACTGCTGTGGAAGTGCATTCATCACGCATCAATTCAATCCAGATATCAGCGTCTTCCTCTAATATGCTAAGGTACATTTCTGCTTAATATGATATTTATATAGGCTGGCCTGTCTACAGGGCCTAACATTTGGTCTGAGGTTGGGGGAATTGCGAGACGAGTTCATAATGCGGTGAATTCCCGCTCCCATTTACTTCACAATCACAGAAGAGACGCGCGTCACGATCTGTGCGCCGCGTATCGCGCTCGCAATGCCGCCAGATTCAGAATCCGTGCACCATGTCGTTAACTTCAACTGCATTACTTAATAAGAAATTAGCACAGCTCGTTAATAAACAACGTTTTTTGATTGATCCATTATACGATCCGTCTTCATTTGGCAAGTGCACTTCCGCAAAAACATTTTTCATGTCGAACTTGTGTGTGTGTGTGTGTGTGTGTGTGTGTGTGTGTGTGTGGGTGTGTGTGTGGGTGTGTGTGTGTGTGGATGCTGCTGATAAAACAGCTTCGCCGAGACTTCAAAGACAAAGTGTGTTTCTTTGTTTCTCTTGTAAAAGTTTCCTGGATATAACTTCCCTATTTAATGCACAATTTTCCTTACAAATTATATTATCAGCATTACAATGTGAGCTGTGTAAAATGTAAAGGATGATGCCACCTTTCTAGAACAATGTGCATTTATGTTTAAATTGTAACATATTTAATAGCATGGAATTAAAGTGTGTAATTAGTGTTAGCTCACTATCTCAGCCTTTTTCAGTGCATTAGTTGAGGTAATATGATAATATATATTAGTGATTCTCATTTATCAAAACACTAACATTGGTAACGTTTTGGAGAGAAATTGGGTTTTTTTTTAATCTCTCTATTTAACCCATCTCTTGGTGTGTGTGATGCTGAACTATCATATGAGTTTCTAAAGGTTTTTGAATTCTTTGCACAGTTATGAATATTGATATTTTATGTGCAACAATAGCATGCTCAGGCCCAGTGGCTTTTCGCCTAATTTTAAATGCCCCCCCCCCCCCCCAAATAATATGATTTAAATGGTGATGAGTGTACTGATTTGATGCATTTAAAAAAATGGATGATAGATATTCTTCAATCTTTCTTACAAAGAACGTAGGAATTACAGTATGTGCATTTTTTTTAATTTATAAATTGTTGTGCACAGTGTTTATTATAAGCGTTAGAATCCGCACCTCAGTACTCACTACTCACTACTCTTGAGTACTTTTAAATAAGCTACTTTTTTACTCTTACTCAAGTAGTTTTTTGGACAAGCCCTTTTTACTCTACTCACACTACATTTTTTGGAATGTAATGGTACTTTTACTTGAGTATGTTTTTTCAGTACTCTTTCCACCACTGCTAATACGTTATTAAAATCAAAGGTTGTATTAGTTAACATTAGTTAATGGACTGTGAACTAACATGAACGCACAATGAACAGCTGTATTTGTATTAACTAACATTAACAAAGATAAATAAACACTGTAACTAATGCATTGCTCATCGTTAGTTCATGTTAGTTAATGCATTTACTAATGTTAAAAAATGAACCTTATTGTAAAGTGTTACCAATGAAGTAACCTTCTAAAATAAGTTATAAAAAAACATTGTGTGAACTTGTGTTAAAGTATATTAATGATTTATATGTTTTCCTCCAGCAAACAGTTTTAGCCAATTGTACTTAATAAGTTCTGCAGTTTTGGAGATACAAAAGTTAATAGCACTTATAACGTGTCTGAGATTACACTGAGCTGACAAAAATCAATTTATATAATTTACTCATAGTGTAGAATGACAGAAATACTTACAGAAGACGATGTTCGTGATGCATATCAGAATCATTATAGCAAAAAGGATGGTTATCAGGGCTCGGTCAGATTGTTCATAATTCAGACTTTTTTCCCAAAAGGATTTAAAAAGAACTGGGACAATGAGATAAACGATGACAATTACGAAAATGTTGTTGACTGAGCTTAACATGAACAGAAACTGTCATTAATATCCCAATGAAAATATTATGCATGGTTGAATATTCAAATTTGCCAACCTGAATAAACAACATTTGCAAAGAGGGAATATTGCAGATGAACAATGCAGTGCATAGCTGTTTTACGATCACCTGCAAAACAGAAACGTTTTTAACAAATCAAATACAACTCCAAACAAAAATAAAATACTTGAAAAAAAAAAAAGAGAACACTTTCGGAAACATTTATTTTTTACTATATTTACTTTAATGGGAAACATTCCCATTTACATTCCCAAGCTTCTCTGCAAATCCAAAATCATCAAACCAACTAATCTGAGCATCTCTTTAAATAAGCAATCATGTTTCAAAGCAAACAAACCTGGGAAATGTTCTGAATGTGGAGACGCCCATAACAGTAGAAGGGGCCTCAGCAAATAATGAGCACAGCAAGCAACAGTCTCACTCAGAAATCCTAGAAAAAGAAAAAAAACAGGAGATACACTAGTTTCCTAACAGTCGTAACATTCCAAGGTTCTGTTTTGGAATGAATAATGGAAGCTTGTTTCCGCCACGGAATGAAAAAAAAAAGGTAATTGTGGCTTTTTATCTCACAACTCAGTTTAAATCTCGCAATTATTACTTTTTTTTCTCAAAATTGCAAGATATAAACTCGCAATTGACCCTTCGCTAAGCTATGCCCGAAAACCGCCACTGGCCAATCCTGTCTTAGCAACCGTAACTATGCGCGGGAGGTCTGGCAAGCTTTCGAACGAGGGAAACATGCTGAAGCATTGTGTGTATGGATTGTTCTCTAATCGGTTGCATATAATGTCGTTAAAGGTATAGCGGAGGATCTTTCCGAATTTTAGAGAAGACCCGCCCTCTCCAATTTAAAAAAAAAATGCACATGGACAAACACAACACTCTTGCTCCCGAGAGGGAACGTCTATACGCCTTGCACAATTATGTTGCAAATTCTAAACTAACTAAAAAACATTCATAAAAAAGACAACATGTCAAATGCCCTTCCGTGTTTTATTTACTTACTGATCGATTGAGTGACCGAGGACTCAAGACATGATATGTACAACCCTGTATCACACGAAATACTTTCTGAGGAAACTATTTTGCAAATCGCAATTACGTTACATGGCAACATAAGCAGTGCTATTACGTTGGTCCTTAACCTAATATGTCTCATTGTTAATAATACGTTATTTTTATACACAGTTGTTTATGTAATGGAGAAGTAGCTTGTTGCATTTGTGTAATAATAAACACACAAGGTTTTAGAATATGAACACATGAACACACAAGGTTTTAGAATATTTCAGGGTGATACCATTTATCATTTGGTCAAAAGGCTACTTTAGACAAATTGAGATGTTTACCGTGTCTATGCGGTGCATGACTTGTGCCAGGGATGAGCACGTACGACGGCCTTACGTAAACATATCACCAGAATGATTGACACTTAGGTGGACCAATAGTATAGACTACCCACCCGGAAAAAGAAAATCCTCCGCTATACCTTTAATATATCCCTCGAATGGAATAATGCAGTCACTTAATTTTGTCTTTCTCTCGCAGATATTTCACTTGTTCGCCGAAAATTACTAATTATCTCATTGGGAATGTCTGACACCGGTGCATCCACACTATAATAGATATGCCAGCCGTGAAAGCTTGACAGGCGTAGCAACAGTAACTAGGGAGGGCGGGCCTTAGCGAAGGGTCAATTGCATGTAATAAAGTCAGAATTGCAAGATATAAAGGCAGAATTGTGAAACATATAACCTTGCAATTGCGAGAAAAACTGAGAATTGACTATTATTTCGCAGAATTGCGAGTCATGAAATTCTGACTTATAACTTGAAATTGTGAGAAACTAAATCTGAATTTTGAGATAGAAATTCGCAATTACCTTTTTTATTTTTGTATTCCGTGCGGAGAGAAGCTTCAATAGTTAACAAATCCCTTTTACAATTTTAAACAAAACTGAATTGACATAACCAAATGTCTGGCCCAGATAGCAAACTGACATTGAATCAACGTGGAAATATGACATCGAAACAACGTTGATCTGACATTGTTTTGCTCATCGAAATAACGTTGAACCAACGTCAGACGCGTCATTCTTTCAAAACTAACGGAAAATCAACTTGAAATCAACGCGTTGTTTCAACGTTATGAAAGCAAACCAATTTTCGATTTTCATTTAGCTTTGAAGAATGCCGCGTCTGACGTTGGTTCAACGTTAATTCGATGAGCAAAATCAACGTTGTTTCAATGTCATGAGAGACGTCGTTTCCACGTTGATTCAATGTCAGTTTGCTGTCTGGGGGGTTACTAATGTAACCCCTGTTCCCTGACTGAACTGACATATTGTGATCTTGTCTGAGAGCCCAATCACATTCAAGTGGTAATATAGAAATAGCCAATGAACATTGAAAAGTAAAACGTGGTTCCGGCCTTTCCAGCGGAGGTACAGGAGTTGTGGTGATTGGAAGCAACATTGCATTGCTAACTTAGACAGTCCCTGTCAGGACATTTGACATTACGTCGGACTGAATTGTCATATTGGGATCCCTATGGAAAGTGCCACAACTGCTGCCCAGAGTAAGTCCACATTTGCATGGTGCGAATACAATAAAGCAATCCAAGGGCTGGATCTGCCTCCTCCAAGGGCAGCGCTTTCCAGTTCACCACCTGATCCCTCAAAAGGGGTGTTGGGAACTTTGAGCACGTATCCAGGCTGAGATTTTAAGATCATGTGAGAGTCGGCCGGCCCGAATTCTTGGCAAACTTCCTCTTAATTGGTGTGAGCACAGTCCGGAGCGCTGTCTTAAAGGAGAACTCCGGTCAATTTTAACATTGAGCTCATTTTTTTTTTGTACATTTGGAGTGCTGTCAGTACAGACAAAAACGACAAAAATCGATGATGCCTACACCGTGTTATCGTCTTTTTTAAATTCACACCCTGTTGACTTCAATGGGGCATGTTCTAAACCTGCTTTTAGCCTCTTAACATCCTTGATTCGTCATTACGAGTGCACAGCCATGTGAGTGGTGTTATTAAGAGTGGCCAAGGTCAATCTGACTGCAGTAGAAATGAAAGATATTAATAAAAATGATGTTAATTCAGCCAGCTCACATATCTCTATTCCTGTCGAAGTCCACAGTAGTGGATTGTCGAGTTCACGCACACGATTATTAGTGAATATCATCTGTTGAACATCAATGTTTATATTCATGTGCTAAAGAGAAGTCCTCCTCAGGCAGCTACTGTAACATAAAGTTATAGGTCTTTGGAGTCTGAGATATATGTGACTGACATTCAATAGAGCTCAAAATAGTGAACTAATCCAATCATGAGAGTGTCAGCATCACTTCCTAATTATTTAAGATTTATTTGTAAAAACTGTCTTTATTAGGATTATTTTATGTTTAAGTTTTAAATAAACAAAGAACATGCGTCCATCCTGGCAAGAGTAGTGGTCACAATCCACTTTGAGACCCATTTGAGGCACATGCTTCTGAAATGTTATGACCATGTTAAGAGTAAAACCCCCACAATTGTTCACTTTTTAGACATGTTACTTTTGTGATTAGTAATTAATTGGTTATTTTTTCTTAGTTCACAAGTAGTTCTCAATGAGGATATATTTCTTTAGTAATAATCAAATACCTACCAAGGAACTACCTTTGTACTAATTACCTATTACTTAATGCTTAGTTAATATTGCTTCCATATTAGTTAATAGTATTAAGTTCGGTCTTAATGCAGTACTACCTATTACTTCCTGCATAGCTACCTGTTAACTACGGACCATTATTTTAAAGTGTTACCTGTGATTGCTTGGGGTGAGTAATCTTCTGTGTTTGGGTTAGTTCTACTTCCGGTTAAAGCTTTGTTTGAGAGTTTTTTTGCTGCTTTTGTCATATTTGTAGCAGTGTGTAATTGTACTTGTTGTGTCGGCTGAACTTCTGTATAGGAAGTATGATGTTACAAACACAGAAACGGTTAGTGGCTTGCAATGCAAATCTCCCTTGGCAATGGAAAAAAACACTCTTGGGCTCTCAGGCTAGATCCCACTTTGTCAGTTCAGTCTGATGTAACGTTGAATGTGACTGACTTGGGGAACAATGATTCCTCAACTGTTATATAAATAAACATATAATTATTACTAGCCTACCCGTGGAATACTAACCTTCAATGACACCCCAGAACAAATAGGCGAAAAACATAACAAGGTTTGGTACAGAGACCACCAAGATCTGAAGAAACAGGGCTGCATCAAAAGAGAAGTACACAATCATTTTACACAATAAAAAAATGAATTTCAGTCAGACATTATTAATTATTTAAATCACTGTTTTGCATATATTGGTGTAATATGACCTAACTAACAAATAAACAAATAAAAATAATGTTTGTGCAAACTTACTTCTCCTGATTTTATACCATAGAAATAAAAACAGCAGTGCAAATCCGGATGCAAAAATACAAAGAGTAAGCACAATTTTGTGTAAAAAAGAGTAACCTGTGGCACACAAACATTAAATTAAAAACACAAAAAGACTGTGCAAAATTCTCTGAGAAACTGCATGAATTTTTTTTGACTTTATGCAAACCAGTGTTATTTATTTATTTATTTTTTTTGCATAAAAATCGGTGGAATCATGGCTCTTAACATCCAGCATCATCAGAAATTAAGCTAATACACACGCTGCTACTAAATGCTATGTTGGCTTTATTTAACTTTGTTATGTTAACAGTTGGCTTTAATTAACTTTTTTATGTCAACAGGTCCCATATAAGTAGGTTACGTTGGATTAATGTACTTTATTTATTTGAATTAAGTTGATTACAAAAGGTTAATAAAAGTCTAATTATGATCATGTCATAACATAATTAACACCACTTGATCAACATTTGTCTTAATTCATCTGAGAGTTACAACTCAGAAACAAGAGCCAGACAAATAAAGTTAATGATTTAAGGGTCAAGAGCCCAATGAAAGCAAACACTGATCACCATAATGGTGACTTAACACTTGAACTCTCTTGAATCTGGAGCCAAATAAACTCCCAGGAGAGTTCATTTAACACTAGAGCTGCTGGATTATTTGTTTTGGTTGAATGTAAAAACTTTTTTTTTTTGCTTAACTTGACTGTTTTGTACAAAATTAAAACATAACCTTATTCAACTAAACAACATTGGATTGACCGTATGTAATTAACTTAAGTTAATTTAAATAAATAATGTTACATAAATCCTACGTAGCCTATGTGGGACCTGTTGACATAAAAAAGTTAATTAAAGCCAACATAGCATTTTTTAGAGTGCATATGCTTGATTTAAATAACATTGAGCATACACTGAACTCCTCACTTAATTAATTTAATTTTACTAGATTAGCTCACCCAGTTGCTGCAGTACTGCAGTCGCACTGGATGAAAAATTTCCAGCGATCACGTGACAGATGTAAACCCCTTTATCCTCGGTCCTGACACTCTTCAGACTGAGAGAGAAGTTTCCTTTGCGCATTTCATTGGTGAAGAACTCAACCCTGCCTCTGTATCGCTCATCTACTGGTAGAGTTTTATTCCTTTCAAAAACCAGGATGTTTTCATCTTTATTCATCTTCCTCCATGAGACCCGTTCAATGTGTTCAGGTGTGATGTGAGAGTGTACAGAGCAGTTCAGAGTGACGTCTTCACCCACAAACGCAGATACGGGATCAGCTGATCCTGATACACTCAGATACTCTGGAAGAACACATAAAACATCAACAATATTGCAATCAAGTTGACATTCAATTAAAAATGTTGTCCAGAGATCTTCACTCACCAACTGCTTTAATTTGCACCAAGGTTTCATCAGATTGCTGCTCAGTGTAAACCTTACATCTGTAAAAACCCTTATCTTCAGCTCTCACGTTTTCCAGACACAGGGAGAAGTTTCCATGTTTGATCTGATCAGTGAAGAAATGAGCTCTGCCATGATAATCCTGATACTGGGCGTCTGGTCGACTCTCATAATCTTGGTAAACATGAACAAGTGTATTAATATCTGTGCGTATCCAAATAATCTTCAGTCCTTTCAATGGTAAGGGTTCATCGACATAACAGGGCAAAACCACTGAAGATCCCAGAGCAACAACCAGAGGACCGGAGGAACCTTTCACTAAAAACCCTAAAAACAACATAGAAAAAAAACATTCAGATGAGCGAGATGAATGAAAGGTTACTTTTGAAGTCACAATCTTTTGATACAATTTAATGATTCATGCTAGATCTATCTGTTTGGTTAAAAAAAGGTCTTACAAGTGTATATATAAATGGGTATACTTACCATCACAGATCACAAATAGTGCTGCCACGAACATGTATTTATGTAACAACATGTTCAAACAGAAACATGACTTATCTGCTGTAACTGAATAACAAAGTTATTACAGACAGTTTGTGAAGAAGCAGTCGTACGTCGACTGACCTGTTTCTTTCACTTTCATGTATAAGCAGGAAGTAAAAACGTGTGAATCGCCTACTCACCTGCCAATCATACGCTGAGTTGAAGAACTGGCAGATACCTGCTGTTTTAAACCAAAACCAACCAATATAGAAAGAATTGAAGGATTGAAAGAGCACATTTACATTTCTGACTGGCCCAGCAAACTAAAATATGCTCTAAGAATGTTTAATGAACATTAAAATCAAACTCATTTTCAATTAAAATCAAGTGCATGTCAGCCATCTACTTGTATAGCCTACTCCTTATCCATGACATAAGAACAATATGTTGAGATGTTGTGATTTTAAGAATAAAAGAGCGGTGTAAGTCCTGCTAAATCGATCCAATGACGGTACTCGATTAGAGGCGAAGGACGAAGGTCTCACGCGTGTTCCGTCTTTCCCATGGCAAAGGGATTTTTAATTTAATGCAATACATTTTATCTTATGTATTAATTCATTTAATCTGATTCCAAATGAAAAGGTTTTGCAATGGTATCTGCGCATCATTTTAAATATAGGCTACGTTAATGTTTGACTATTCCTTTTAACTGCAATGAAAATAAAGTCAAAGTCTGAATAGACAAATATAACATATTATAAGGTAAATGTATTATTACAATTCCACAATCAATAAAGATAATCAATGCAAACCATCAAATGTTCATTAACAAAGAACCCCCCCCCCCAGACCCCTTTTGGGAGTGCCCAGAGAGAACACATTCCTTATTTGAGACCACAAAATCATACTAATCTTATTGGCCCTCATTTATCAATCTAGCGTAGAAACGGGTGTATATGTTGGCGTAAGATTATGCTTACACTCCTCTCACCGCCTGATTTATGAACCTGTGCGTACCTTTGATATCCAGATAAATCCCGCGGCCGAAAACGATCGTCATTAGAATAACACGCCCCTAAATATTCAAGTCTCCGCTCCCCCACGCCAAAGAACGTATATTGACAAGAAGTGAAAGCCAATAGAACGTTCCATTGCAACACACACGAGTCTTTACAATAGCGCTGCATTTGTATTTAGTTTTCTTTCAAGGCTTTGGCAATTGAATATATATATATATATATATATATATATATATATCACTGATTCTTGAAACTTTGGCAAAAACATGTCCCACTAAAAAAAGTGCTAATTCTGTTGGAAATTAATAACATTTTCATGAATGAAAAGAATCAAGTTTATAATCAGGGGGTCCTTTGCACATATGTAAGGTTATTTTATAGGTTTATTTTTCATTTTTATTATTTTAATGATTATATGCTGGCCCATTGCCTACAAAATCAGCTGTCCTCGGATAGGAGATAATCATTTCAACTTGATAAAAAAACAAAAAGGAATAATTGAATTGAATAATATATTTACCACACAAAAGAGTACATTGTAATATGTATTAAAAACTAAAAACAGTGAGTTTTAAACAATATTTACTATTATTTTGTGGTTGTTCAAAATGTGTCCCACATATTCGTCACCACCGTCAGATATTTATAAAAAGCAATAAAATCAGGCAACTACAAGGTCAACTACATTCCTCCATACCCCATTTTCAAACCTTCAGCTTTACAGCATGCTTCAAGATCACTCAAGCTCCCGTAATTTTGCTATTTTCTCTTAAACTTGTTCATATATTTGGGCACTGCTACTGTCACAACCATAATATGTCAACACCGTCTCTTTTGTATAGAAAATATTAGATTAGATTATGACATAATTGTATACTTTTTAAGAAGAGGTCTGAAGTAGCTAGCAACAGAGGGGAAACAAGATGGCTATAATGTGAACAACTCATGCATATCAAGTGAAAGAGTAGGTTTTGTCACCACCGTCAGACGTCACCAAAACCCCCCAAATGGTCTATAACAGAGGCTAGAATATAATTGTTGATCACAATAAATACCAATATATTATCTGTAATGTTCCATTCACCTCTTTAATATTTTTATTTATTTAATTCCCCCTATATTTCTTCCATACAGGCTTACACTGCATGCTACTATTAGCGCGAGTGAGAGTGAGGATGTTTCCTGATATCCTCACGGCTGTGGTTCAGCTGCAGGAATACAGCAGTTCTAATCTGAACACGTTTGATGCGATTAAATTGTGTTTCATGACGTTCATTTAGATTTTTGCCCACACTAAAAATTTGTTAAAGCCTAGCATGGATAGGAGCAGCAATTACCCCCTTGGGGTAAACAGAACAGAACCAACATGAATGTTTTGCAGATTATTTCAAAATTTAAAGTACAATATAATTCGAGAATTTATTCAGATTCTTGGGGAATCAGAATGTCAAGTCCTGACTGACGAGTGGAGCTGGGGAGGGAGGAGGGTAATGAGCTCCTGAGAAACGTGATAGCTGCTGATAATACTGTAGCATGTGTACAGTGATAGGCATCATATTCCTATAGGGTGAGGTTGATCAGCTAATAGTCGGCTGATGCGAGCTTGACTAACGTGACCTGTCAGAACTAACGCTACGCTTGATATTTAGACAGATTTTTTGAACAATTTTTGAGAGAAATAGGCTTTTTGTGTACATGGAAAAAGTCCTAGATCTTTGAGTTCAACTCATGAAAAATGGGGGCAAAAACAAGTGTTGCATTTATAATTTTGTTCAGTGTACATATTTATGAATTATACCATCAGCCTATCATCCAATAGGGGATAAGGTGTGCCTTCCCTCTCTCTCAATTCACTATTATGCCATGTTCATTTGGCTTATGTCATTTGGGATGCACATAGTACCTACACAGCACATAGTATGCACTACACAGCACGTAGTATACTACCTACACAGCACATAGTATGCACTATCCATTCCAGGCCATGCATCTCCAATGACTAAAGCCAAATGAAAATGGCATGACATCATTTAAACAAATCTAACATTTGCTGTAATTACCCCCAATTTCATAGTCATTACACTCAACTTTGACTTTATGTATTTTAGAAAGTTATGGCTAGGCAGCAGCTATCTGTAGAGGAGAGAAGGAGAAGAAACAGGGAATACCAAAAAAAGCTGAGAGAGAAAATACACAGTGAGGCAGAGTTAAATGAGGAATACCTCATAAAAGGAAAAAAATGTTTATCACAGTGCTCAGGATTGTTATTTTTTGGACCAAAGAGTTAAATGAAGTTGTTAAGCAAGAATTGATTGACTTGAGTGGTATACATTGTGGAATTGTATGTTGTAAAGAGGCCACAGTCACCACCGTAAGATTAATGTCACCACCGTCAGTTCTAAAGTCACCACCGTCAGAGGGAGTTTTATTTGTTTTAAATGAATATACTTGAAATATGATTCTTCAGTTCTGTTGAGTTATTAAAGTAATAGTCTCTTTTAATACAAAAATATGTTTGTTAAATAAAACAACATTAATTTTTCTATTTAGGCTTAAAGTAAATGTTGTATGATGTTATATCTTTTAAAGGAGCACACGCAAAACAGTATAAAAAATGAACAAAAGTGAATATTCAATATTTAACAGCATATATGTGTACCAAGAATGCCAGATAATGATTTAAAAACTCTAAATACATATTAGACCAAACAAATAAAAAATAATTTGCTATTTATTTTGTCTGACGGTGTTGACAAAAACAAAGTGATAACTGGAGAAAAGCCTATTTTATGAAAAAAATACAAAATGAGGAGGTTGCACCGGTGCATTGCTGAACAGCCAAGACCTTGCTTTATAATGATATACCTTCAGATTTTGTAATTTAACTAACTTTTTATTTTCAAAATTAAAACCTGTTTTATCCAAATTCCCAAGAATCACTGATATATATATATATATATATATATATATATATATATATAATATATATATATAATAGTTTCCTTATTTTTGTATTATGCACATGACACACAGGCATATAGATTTAGCCTCAGAAACTCAATCAATCAATCAATCAATTCTGACATGTGTTAAAAGTATTCTTTTATTCTTGAGTCTAACAACATACATTGAGATGTTATTGTTATGCAAAAGAGCTGTGTAGGATATAGCTAACTGTGATTTTTAATTCAGATTTGTGATTTTTAATTCAGATTTTTAATAAATAATGAATTGAACTTAAATAGCAAAATAGTCAAACCTCATATTATATTTCACTAAATAGCCTACAAAAATGAAAATCACATGTTGTCATACATACATTTGATTGATTATGTAAATCAAGAACTATTTTCTTCTCAAAGTTGGAAACTCTCATAACTTCCCGTTGTATTATTTACTCTGAGGAGCAAACAATATAGGCTACTCGATAAGTCCATGCATTACTGCACGATTTTATTTTGCCGACTGAAACTGCTGCAATGTTATGTTCCCTCAGTGAGGACCACATGACTAAAACTTAATTCAACGCTTCATATTATAGGGAAACATGGTACTGGTTTATGTGAAATATGCCAAGTAAAGGAAACAGTTGAACATGTGTTGTTATTTTGTTCCAGGTATGAACTGGAAAGAAAGGATTTAATAAGTGAACTAAAGGAAATGGGATGCAAAGAATTTACAATCAATAACATATTGAAAACAAAACAAGGATCCAGGGAAATTGTACACTCTAAAAAATGCTGGGTTGTTTCAACCCAATTTTGGGTAAAATATGGACGAACCCAAACGTTGGGTTAAAAATGTAATTAAAAAAATTAACCCAATGGCTGGGTATGTCCATATTTTACCCAAAATTGGGTTGAAACAACCCAGCATTTTTTAGAGTGTAAGGTCAGTTTTAAAATTCATAAAGAATAGTGGTCTTAGGACTAGAATATAGTCATCTTTTAACATACTTCTAGACTGAAATCACTTCACACTCCAGCACAGGTGGTGGCGGTATGCACCATAAAGTTGGTATGCAACCCGCCAATAAATCCATAGAAGAAGAAGAAGAAGAAGAAGAAGAAGACGCGTGCACGTGGACTACACTACCCACAATGGCCTATTGTAAACAGGAAGTGCGTCACGGAATTTCAAACCCTTAGAGCTCACACGGAATTATCAGTGTTTCGGAATAAAATAAATAATAGTGTTTTATTTATAAATATTTCTCTAAAACTGAAGTGCGGCTTTATGTGTCGGTTTTGGTCGCATATATTCACGATCTTTGACTGAGGAACTGATTCATCAACACTAAAGTTCGTCCAGAACACAGACAGGATTTATATTTCACACTTGAATCCTCAGATTCGATGCTAATCATCCAGACAGAACCAGAACCAGCGGCTGAAGTGGGTCTCCAGCGGGTCCAGGACAGGATTTGAAGTTTGGACGATGATCAGCTGATCTGGGTCTCAGCGCTCGTGCTTTTGTTGAGGCTGCGGTCACGGTTTCTATTGGTAACGGGCACGCGCACAGATTTCACCATAATAAACACTCCGTTTCTCCTTCTGGGAATCAGATATGGTAAATATCATCTCTATTGCGTATGTAAAACACAATTTACACGTAAAACTAAAAAGTAATAAATATAATATAATACTACAGTAGCCTACTGTAAAACTAAACAAACACGTGGTCTAGGGGTTACAGGTCTGGGCTCGAAACAGATTGAAGGGTCGATCGTTACCACTATTTTACTGTTACACAAGTTACATGTTGTTATTATAGTAATTACAACAATATTTATGCATAATTAATTACATGGAACTGAACTTAATCAGAATATAGTAAGTACACAGTTAACTATTATTACTCAGTAGGCTATTTATGAATAATTACACTTTAAAGACACCAAAATAAAGTGTAACCATTCAATCCACATAAGGTTTAATCTGTTAATTACTAAACCAGTAATAATTAAATAAGTTTTTAATCTGTAATGTGTCATTATTTTGGACATCTTGTAATTAAACATTTCTATTTAATGCTAAGGTATTTAAATATACAGTGTAGCTTATATAATATATTGTTCTAAAACAATTTATACAATCCTGGGCCATGTGATATTATTCTGAAGTTTTATACAGCACAATAATAAAATGATAGTGATGTATTAGTATAAAATGTATCTCATCTTCATCTTTTTCAGACGTCAAAGCAGAAGAAGGGTCTCAGAGGTGAGTTGAGTCAGCCGGTGTGTCTGTGTGTGTGTGTGTCTTATGTCTGATTGTTATGTGAGCTGTGGTGTTTCCTCGTCTCTCAGGCTCTATAGATGACGTGTTAGGAGATCTGCTGGGTGGTGATGATGATGAAGGTCCGGTGAAGGTGCGATCGCCAGCACTTGTGTCCAGCAGACCCTCGGCCGCCCTCACGTCACGCAGCGGGAAGAGGTGTGTGTGTGTGTGTGTGTGTGTGTGATGATGATGGATGATCATTATCTAGTATGAGTCTCAACAGTCTGAGAGATGAACTGAGACACATAGAGTCCGTCACCTGTGTAAACGTCACGTAAAGATGCTGTGTGTGTGTGTGTGTGTGTGTGTGTTCAGGTCGCTGCTGGACGACGATTTCTTCAGTAAACTGGCAGAAGAGGCTGAGAAAGATGAGGAGGTGAGACATAAAACACTTTAAAAACTAAACTTAAATGCTGTACAATTAAAAGAAACTAAGATAAAGCAGGCACACAATTAAGGTAACGTCCTTGATACATGTGGTTACTGTCGTAATAACTATAAATTAAGCATATTTACATGTGATTAACCCTAAATCAAAACTAAACTTAAGTCTATAGTAAGTGCATGTTGTTAATTAATATTACTAATTACTTAAGTACTTTATTCAAATAAAGTAACCCACATTTATTAGTGTAAAATTCACTATTAGACGTATTAATAAATACAATATAAAGAAATAATACATGCAGCTCATTTCTAGAAAAATCAGATGAAAGTCCAGATTAACTTACTTAGTGTTATTTAATTGATATATTATTATAGTGTTTATTAAAATGTTCGTTGGATTAGTTTTTGTTTGTGTATTTTCTATTTTCAAAAGTAACAATCGTTACAATATTGCGTTACTCCCTTAATTTTTCCTGGAAAGTTACGTGAAATTTTTTTTTTACGTTTTTTTGTTATTTTAGTACTTCAAGTTAAGCTAAACGAAAATGAGAAATGTTGCCTTGTAAAATAAAATAAAATACATTTGTTAAAAATATTTTACTTAATAGACAAGGAAAACATTTTTTATGTAAATAGAAAAAGTATTTTCTATTTTCATTTGAATGTTTTAGTGAGTTTTTTTGTGTGTTTTGGTCATTTTATTTCATTCATCTGTTTTTTATGTCTATATACTTTTATCATTTTTTATTTCCGTTTTAGTACTTTAAGTTAAACTAAACAAAAATTGAGAAATAATGCCTTGGAAACTGAAATAAAATAAGCTTGTTTAATTATTTCAGTTAAAGTTTTTTTATTTTCTTTCAAGTAACACACTGTTTTACACTGTAAAAATGAATACGACTGAATGTGTTAAATCTAATCAATAAAATTGAGGCAACAGATTACAATCAATATTATTAATTAAATTTAACAAATTAGTATTGAGTAATACTTAACCAAATTAATTACTTAAAAGTTAACCATTTAAAATGAGTAAAATTTACACATTTCTTTTAAGAAAAATATCGGAAAAACAGACTGACGTCAAAATTAAGAACTCTTTTTTTATTGCCATAATTGTGTTTTAGTTGGACTCTTGACTCTTAAATCATTAACTTCAGATGTAATTTGGCTGTTGTATGGGAGCT